CGGAATTTTTAGATGTCTGTTAGTTGACGTCAGGAGAGTTTCTCTCAAGTGTGAGAAGATTTTGCTTGTACATACAGCGGATGGTGAGGGTCGATAGATATCACCGACAACCTGCTTGTAAGACATGACTCTGGAGACTGTGTATTCTGAAATCGTTCTGCATCAGTACAGAGTGGTGCGTTTTAATAGCATAACAAAATGCATTTTAAAACTGAGCATATCAGTCAAGATGATGTTTGTTCACAATGTAATCAGCTGATACGTTACGCCAACAAAGTGAATGTCTGGGTTCATACGAATGCCCTGGCAATGAAAAAAGTTTCAAGTAATATTGCTTGGAGATTTTTGCTTTGTTGTTTCATAGAGATTTCGGGTTAACAAATCTTTGTGATGAGCAAGCATTAACAAATGCGCGTAAATGTTGTGTTTTTTTGTGGTCATGAGAGGAACGCTTAGTTTTGAATGCTTAAATAGGCCTGTTTCGTGAAATTTTGAGTTAGGTTATGTTTGAATCCAACTCGGGATTTATCAGTCAATATTATTTTCTTAATCAGTGTTCCACAGCATTCATTTGAACCGTGACCATGCATCAGAGTTCTGACAACTCAAGTTGCATGATTGGTCTTTGTCTTTGTACATGACAGATATCCTGCGGTATATGTAAGTACACTCAAGACTCGGAAATAATAAAACAATTATATCGCTCAATCTTGCGGAACATCGTCTGCTCTCTGCCCGGCTCTCTGCTCCAGGCAATACGCGAAATGTTCACATGACATGTTTTTCTACGTTCTTTATAATCGATTCCAAATAATTCTGTGACTCGGAGGGAGTTTAGGTGCATGTTGCAAAGACTACGCCGAGTTGGGGTGATCCGTTACGTCAGTGATCCAAAAAACGAAAGAAATCGAACTCCAAGAAATTGGTTAATTATGCAATATAAACAACGACCCCACAGTCTTACCACTGGATCGCTATGTCACAATTAAAACTCGGTTAGCGGTGCGCCAGTGCAGGGCGGAGTTTCGGGTGTTTGCAAAACCGGACTACGCTAAATGACATTTTTAACTTCTGTGCCAAATGGCCGGATGCCAATTTTCAAATACTTTTACGTTTCAAATATATTTTTACATTTTCTTTCACATTTGAAAACAGGTCATGTTCATGCACTTGACACGTAAGTTAATGCGCTTTACCGCCGGTGACGCTTTGGGTTCACCTCGCGTATTACAACAATTACTCTTCCAGAGCATCAGTCACCGAGATAGAGCGCTTTAGTTGCTATCTTTTATTTATTTTATTTAGCTTCGCCTAAGATATATATAACAAAAATAAACAAAAAAACGGAATAAATATTACAAATAGGCAGGGCAACCACAACAGCATGGCCAATTACAGTGGACCCAAGATCATGTCGTCGATGCCTCGTACCTTAATTCTACTTATATCTACTTATAGTAAGAGTAAAATTATCTGTTAACCCGGCTATTAAAAATATTTACAAGCCTCGTGCCTGCTCGTAAGCTTATTAGGCAGGTGCCTCTTTTACTCCTGTTTCCATAGCATGAAGCGACCCCGTGTATCGCTACTCAGTCCCCCTCGGATGCCGAATGTTCAGAGTCCATCACAGTTACCCTCAGCATTTTTGACAGGTTCCCCTGACAATTCGATATACTAAGTAACAGTGAAATCAAACTCTTGACCAATTTGGGATATAACGATACATTACAATGTATTATGTATAGTATATATATACTGGATATAGCGAAGTTATAATTTAATTTTCTTTCCAGGGAGAGCCCCAGTAGAATTTGGAGAGAAGCCTGTTGCAGAGGCCGTGGAACATGTAGACGAATGTAAGACCCAGCGAATTGAAACCATTTCATTATCTAAAGTTACTCGTATTTAAACTTATTACACCCGAGCAAGTTTTTATATGAGTTTTCTTTGCTTGTGTCAGTGGCAACAAAATATGGCAAGTTTTTCATTGACCGGACTCCTTTTGCAAAAACCTGAGTGACCTGAGGGGACTTCTCATGGAAAACAATATCCGTAATGAAAATGATGCTTTGTATGAAACTGTAGTCGATTGGTTGTGTAAGAGTTCATCCTTTTCATTAAATCACGGTTGCCGTCGAGTTTCAAATGATATAAACACAATTAACCACAGTTTTATGGCAAGACAGCCCTGAAACTGATATGTTTCATTCGAACGCGAGACACGGTGTGACGATTTCGTTTTAGTCCGACTACGAGGTAAAAATAATAAAAGGGGCGACTGCCTCTCGCAGTTTAGTCAGTTATAGTCTTTACAAGTGGGAAAATATTTCTTTCTTAGCTACAATACCAGTACACGTTAGTTGGGACAGTTGTGCTCTCTCCAGTCAATGTTGGTTTGCAAGATTGGATACGCAAAATACCAATATAATCAATCGACATTGGGAAGGGGAGAAGGGACAACGGGAACTTAATTAAATATTAGCATTAAATTAGGTGTCCCAGCTAATCTTGTCTCAGATTATAGCAAAACTAAATAAGTATCGAACAGGTTTAGGAATAATTGTGTGATTAATATATAATTTCTCCTTACAAATGATATTTTATACTCACAATGTCAAGCAGACAGATTAAAGAATGGATTGGAAAATATGAATTCATGGTTTAATTGCTATATAATGCATAATAAAATGTGCTATAAAGCACATGTACAATAGGTATTATAAATTAACACAGAACAGTTGCTATCCAGTTTAATCTTACTCTAACTTTCTTATTCTCCATTTTAGGCGGATTTGGCGTTCAGTGTACAGAGCCTAACCCCGATATCAGAGATATGATCATTGTTTATGGAAGGGACAATGCTGCAGTACAGACAGAAGCCTTCAGTATCATTGAAAAGAAATGAAATACTTTGTAAACCATAGTTTAGTCAAATCTGCTCCACTGTAACAGCTAGCACATAGATCTTTGTAGTCTAGTAATTCAATTGTTTATCTGCACGCTTTATAAAATAAGCAAGATACTGAGCTGTGACTGGTTGAAAGCAGTTTATCATAAGACAGTCTACGACACCATATATAATTTATATGATCAGTATAAAAAGACTGAACTGGTCTCTTTCTGTCTCGTTTCCGTATTTGAACTGTACGAAAAAACTCGTGCCGGAAAGTTTAAGGAACTGATAATAATGTAATAACTAGTAATAATGTAATACATGTAGAGTTAGCCCGCGAATGCAGGTGGATTTTCGTCCGTTTTGGCGGCGTGAAACAGCTGGCGAGAAAATCCGCCGGCGTTTGCACTTCCGTTATGCAATCGAGGTAGAGGTAAAAGGTAGCACGTTGTACGATTGTTATTTGCGCAAGAAATAAACATAATAATATAAACATAATATTGCATGATATTGCATGATATTACAGGTGGACGTATATTAACCCGTATATACATGTAGCTGCGTTCATCGCGCTCGTTTAAATCAAAGCAAGCCGAGTTTCAAAATTATTTATCTATTTTTTCCCGGCATCATCCCTGACATTTCCCTGTTCGGTTCCGTGACTATATTGTGTATTGAAGTTCCAAAGAATGATTGTGCCATGAATTACTGAATAATTTCTTTAAACAAAGAACAAATGAAAACATGCTCTTTTCAAAACCACTTTCTGTTATAAGTAAGAATGATAAATTAGTTAATTTTCAATCAAGTTTATTTTATCTTTCTTTCAGTACAAAAACCCAAAGCATGAATCACTATATTAGTTTGCATTTTATCAATATGAGTTGAACGCGTACAACTTTTTGTCTGGGTAGGCTTTATATGAAATATATCACTTTCATATCCCTCTGTGTATTCATGTCACTTCCCATGAAGAGACAACATATATAGTAACCAACAACGACGGCTTACCACCAAGAAAGATGTTGGTGGTTCAGTTACTGTTCCTTAATAAGCTTTTGCATTATTAGTTATCACTAAAATGAGTTTTATTTGAAATAAACATTTTTATTTCCTTCCTTCACGCGGAAAAAGCAAGGAAATAGGAGATTCGAAGGAGACGGGGATTCCCCGTATATAAAGGTCACTCTAGTGGCCGGAAAGAGGAATAAACGAGCTCAACGCTAAAAGGCCAACATCGATAACAAAACGAGCGCTAAGTCTATATCATCTGACCGCAATACGCTGTGCATCATCAAGCGCGCAAAATGTCGATTTTCATTGCCTGCTCGTACGGAGTTTTTAGATGTCTGTTATTCAAAGTCATCAGAGGTCTCTCAAGTGTGCGCCGTTTTTGCCAGAAACTCACAAGGCTACGGCGGATGACAAGGACCGATGGACATCGCCGACAACTGGCTGTGGAATTAAAAGAAGGTAAGGAAGAGTCACTGACTGAAAAATATTTTAAAATTCTAAAAATTGTTCGTCGACTCTGCACAGAGTTAGGCTCAATGCAATCAAATGCATTTTAAAAGTACTTCTAAAGAAACGGTTTGGTCGCACTGCAATATCTTTATATACCCGGAATAAAATATATGATAATCTCTTACATGTATGTCTGATGTAGTAGATAGAGTTTACAATTTCATTTTCAGCTTTATGAAGGAAGCCCGCGTAAAAAACTTATACATCAAAAACTTGATGTAATAGCTGAAATTAAACGACTCAGTTAAAGCTTATTGGGGCGATTGCTTGAAGAATTGGCTTGTTAGAGTATTTAGTTTGGTTAGTAAGAGTGGTGAACGCAACGCAACGGAATCCAGATCTTTGTTTTAGTTTTGATGAGACTCGTGAGCTTTTATAGTCTTACCCGTTTCATATTTAAGCTGATGTATTTTTACGTTGAGGGGAGATAAAAAACAATATAAAAATATTCAATGTTAAGCAAAAAACTTCAATGCACCTAAAGACGCAATAAAATATTGACAAATGTAATATTGCGAAGTGAAGTGGCTGACTTGGGTAAAGTGAATAAATGTCGAACTACTCAGAAAAGAAAAACATTCTGAGCTCCCCAATGGGAATCGAACCCATGACCTTCCAGGTGCCGGTTGGACGCTCTACCCACTATGGAGGACTCATGGTGAGCAAGGCCATATAAGAATATTGTCGGCTGATGCATATGCTGAAAGATGAGTAAACGGTAATGTTAATATTCCATTATAGTGTAAACAGGTTATTTTGCGTTAGAACTGATTTAAAAAGTCAGCTACCACAAAGTATTGACAGTTTATATACATATCATAACCGAGAAAAGTTGGTTTGTTGCAGAGTTGGTGCAGAAAACGAGTAGATAAAGCGGTTTAGATCCTACAAAAATTGGCCGCCTGAGAAACATCTAATGCTAAAGTCGCTAAATGGGGTTTATAACTCCAGCTTTAAACAAGTAAGGCTTGTTCATATCATTTACTTACTGATCCCTTAGATAATGGAGTTATAAACTATGATTTTGCTACATTTCCTGAGAGACACTAACTGATTAATAAGGAACTGAAGTCGAATAAAATCTCATTCTATGCTTTTATATAATTATCTGAGCACATTTAATTCCAGATCGAAATGTAAAAGAAACTTCGTTGTTTCACCTGGTAATATTTGCATCGTTTTATGAAAATCTTGGCGCGCACGTGACAGATCACATGCTCATCATTCGGGGATTCTGTCTTTTCAGTTCCATGTCTAGACACGTCACTGTTCGAAGGTTAACGAAATGCATGAATTCGAATATTAATAATGTATTGTTATTATAAGAAGTGCATTGTTTGCCAGAAATAGAAACGTATACGTTCAAGCTTGCCAAATTTTAGAAGAATGCCGTCTCAGCCGGATATTCGATATTCGATAGTTTATCTGACCAAATCAAAACATTAACACATTAAAGAGGAAGTTAAAACAGTAAATATTTTGGACAGATATCAAGTGTTATGTCAATCAAAGAGCAATATATAGCTCAATTTCTTTCAATCTGATGCCTTCCTGCCGTTATCCTTGATTTATTTTTAGTTTTTTACCCGATGAAGTAGTCAAAGAGTCAAGACCACAAGGAATTCAGGAGGAACAAATTAAAATGCAAATTCAGTTGCCCGATCAAAAAAAACTCACACTTCGTTTTGCACGTGCAATTTGCATAGCGAGGTTCCTCGGTCTATTGTTGGATCTAATTAATTTTTAGCTGAAATATAAAATGCGCGTTTAGTTTTGTTTTAAATTCCTCGCGTTCACTTCTGTTCCACCACAAACGGGACAGGAACCGGCACCACTGTCACTACTAGAATCCTGGTCAAAAGTCTTGGGACACATTCTACTTTTCTTGTTCTCTAGGACAGGGGGTGGGGGCGGGTTTATCCGCTTCCCGTACATTTTACTCCCGATTCCCAGGGAGCTTAAGCAACGACGACGGCGTCGCCGAGGGCAACGCCTATTAAAAAACGAATTTCTATTTTACCTACGAATCTCGCAATTATCACTGGAAAAGTTGAAAATTTACAAAACATGTAAAAATATATTTACAACTGTAAATCTGGATTTACATACTTTGTAAATTTCAATTTACAGGTTAGTGTCTTGTAAATAAAATTTACATTATATTTACAGCTTTAACAGATCATGTAAATGGACCGTAAATAGTGATTTACTTGTTTAGTTTTTACAGTGAGAATTCGAGGAAGTGTAAAAAACCTGTAAATTATTTTAAACACATTTACAGTATCTAGATCTTGTAAATATCATGTAAATCGAAAAAGGGGGCCTGTCAGGAACCCTTGTAAATATCATCATGACGAGCCGCAGAAGACTAATCCCATTCAGAGAGTGATCGACGGTTGCTAACGGAAAAAAATCATTCGCTCACGGTAATCTGTCAGCAATAAGGGGTCAATTTCAGTCAGCGTGACTGTAATCGTATCCCGTCATGTCTAAGACTCATGACTTGCTTTCGAAGAATCGAAGAGAGCAGTCTTGTCTTCTGGCGGAGCCACATTTCTACTTCTTTGAACTGTTTAATACGGACAGTTAGATAGAAAAAGTCCTCCGGTGATGTTTTTAAGGACCTGACTATGCATCGACCGTCGAAAACGGAAAATTGCGGTTTAACTGAAGGTTTTCGGTTTTTTCGCGCCAATAATAAATTTATGGCGCGCTAAATCGGCGGGCTTGACCGCGATCTCGATGTGGCATTATTCGCCGGCAAACTTATTTTCTGCAGCATAACGAATAAATGATTGATGTAGTGGAATTCATCCTTCTCACCTCCGCAAGGTAAGTGCGATTTTCATGTTCATATAGCTTACTGCTTGCTACCTATGCCTCGGATATCGATCAATGCATCAAAACTGAAGAATCAGTATAAGTCACCACTAAAGTATGTTGCGTTACTGTGATTTAATAATGTTAGTACTTTAGGCAACACCGAAAGAAAGAAATCCAAACTAAATTCAAACTGAGTAGGCCTGCCAGCAGTCAACGTTCAACGTTTTGAGTACAAAATTACTAAAGAATGATGATTAAACCATTATGAATATGTAGTTTTATAATTGAAAATAAAATACAGAGTTAGCTCACATGTTCTCTCGGGTGTGTCGCCTGAGAAGAACAAGTAATCGGGTGAGTCGCCTTTGCTTTGTGACCTAACTCTGATCTATTAGAATTTTCATCACGGTGAGTTTTTCAACACGGCGGTTCTTATCTCGGGTGTTTCGCCTGATAAGGACGAGCAATCGGGTGAGTCGCCTTTGCTTCAAATGGCGTGTTTGAAAACCTCACTGCATCAACGATATTTTTTTTCTTTTTTGATCGAACGTTCAGTGTAATCTTTTGTAAGAAATTTAATGTTTGGCCAGAGCAGTGAATGTAGAATGGTGACAGGCCAGAAAACGTTTTGTACACCCGGTGCGTCAATTAAAGTAACGCAACATTACTGTAGTACCGATTACCTCTCGATTTAACTGACTTTTTTTCTTCGAGTGAAGGCTTCCATGCATTTTCTTTACGGGCACACATTCCTTTTTTTATCCTTCTTGGATAAGAGCGCGAAAAATATCGCCTGAACACAGTTTGCGTTATGTGATCTACGCCAGTTAGCTGGGTGCCGAAGGCCAGACTAGACATAACGAAATTCTCTATCGAGACGGATGGCTATTATATTACTGCTATTACATACTCTAAATCTGGCTCGCCCTTGTCAACGACCAGCTCTTATCTGATCGTTAAACAATGGGTTCTCCATGGTTGAGTGAAAACCTGGTGGCTTGTAGAAGCTACCACGTCACCGTTGTTAAGGCACGCGGCTCGTCATGTAAATCGAAAAAGGGGGCCTTTCGGGAACCCTTGTAAATAACATGTAAATCGAAAAAGGGAGCCTTGTAAATCCTTGTAAATAACAGGGGCCTGTCTTGAACCATGTTAATACAGTTGAACCCTGTTAATTCGAACTCTCAGGGGAAACGGGAAATAGTTCGATTTAGCCAGGGGCACCCAACGACGTTTTTCTCCCAACTATTTTAGGCTGTCTGGTGCATGTGCTTTTAAATTCTAAGCTGCGCTATAAAATTTATATATCTTCGGTCATTCTAGGGGAACTTTAGACTTCCCGAATTTATTGGGGCTTTTTTTAGTCATTTTACCTACGAATCTCGCAATTATATATATTCGCCGCCGCGGTTCACGTTCTCCAAAATACGCCGCGAATTTGGTCATTTCACGTTGTTGATTTGCAGAGGACGGTTAAGAAATGTACAAACAATTATAACACACGTGCAGAGCTATTGTACTGCCTCATTAAACCTGTTTTGCTTAGTGAAGTTCTCGTTGGCGTTGCCATCGTAGTTTGCTTTAGATTCCTATTCGCCTCTTGGTGCTTTCCTATTGTAAAATATTACAAAATAATGCGAACATTTTTCCCATTTCTCCCGCTTCCTGAACTCTCTCTTCCCGTCTCCCGTAGACTTCCCGTCCCCTTTACTGCCGGGTTCCCGTCTCCCTGCCCCATCGCCTCTCTAGATCGTCTTACACAAAACTTAAGAGAAGAACACATGTGCTTCCTACTCCCTTACAATTATGAGCCCGTGTGCCTGAATGCCGCCTGCATTTCAGCATTGTTTGTGGGGCCAACTGACAACCCATGAAAAAAAAAAAAAAAGACGTATAGAAACGGGGTTTTTTTAGTCAGAGGGGCCGGAAGTGAAAGTTGCATGTTTGTGAGATAGATTGATTTCAGCGTCCCAATGACTTTTGGCCAGGATTGAAGAATGAAATGGCCCTTCGTTCTTCCTTATCAGAGATTTGGGTTGAAAGCAAGTTGTAATTTAAAATAACTAAAATATATATGAACACATACAAGAATCTAAGGATTGACTTTATTCTTGCTTCTGTGTCTTACAATGCGTACTTCATTCACTTGACTGTCCTCACTACAGTATGTCAACCCCTTGAAAAGTACACCCGTGTACCAATTCTAAGACAAAACTAGTGCCTGTCATATTTTTTTCCCTAAAGGTACCGGAAAAACTCTAACGCTAGCCGTTTTAGGTTTAACACCCTAAGTGGTACCAAGCCATGGATTTTTACACATAAAAGGTACGACGATAACCCCCGTCATTTTTATATTGAAGTCCCCTCCCCCGGAAGTTTACTTCCAAAAATACCTGAACTCATGTTTCTGCATGCCAACATACGGAAGATAAACCTGGAGGTGTTATCGGACGAGGGATGCCGGAGTTGCCACCTATGTAATAAATAATTAGTTTTTAGTTTTTAGTATTATAATCTTTTATCTTTAGTTATGTAATATGATTAAGCATTTTATAAATTGTATAATAGTTAAGTAGGTTAAGTAGTTTAGTTAAGTATTTTATGAACTTTGTTAAATAGACTAATTTTTTAAATTATATAATTTTAGGTAGGTGTCCCCTATTAGTAGAGGGCTTTCCCTCGGTTAAAACACTTAACGACACATTAATAAAGTTTTGATTGATTGATTGATTGACGAGTGATAAACACTAAGCGCCATGTTTGCTAAGAAGGTGTCATCAATTAATTAATCTCCACCAATCAGCATTTTGCGTCGACTTTCAATCTTACCTAGCTAATAAG